CACAAATAAAACCAATCAGAGTGACCAAATGGTAGCGAGTAAAAAGTGACTTGGGACAATTAGTTTGGAATTGTGGACGCGATTAAAGTGTCACGGTGGGAAAATTAATGGCTTTTCACAACCACAAGTCATTCTGGGAGCATCCCTGCTGGTCCCACAAGCATTCTTGGTGCATTTCAAACGCTCCCGGACCACACACACAACCGGGAGCAATCACACGGAGCGCACGAGAGAATGTATCATTTTCCACCCTGTTAAATATGTATACCATGTCTATTGGATCCCGTTTGTAGTTCTCCGGTAATAAAAAGTACATGGCAGAGTCGAAGGGTTCTATGTGTCATTGGAGTAGATTTTCTGCTGCTGAATGAACCAAATTGAATGTGTATATTTCCGTTATAATTCAATTTCGTCTAAACTGCGTTTCATTTCATATCCTCTGCTTTTGGGGAGGAAGTTAATTGAAATTAAATAGTTCCTAGAAGCATTTTGCAATTGGAATAGAATCACTGGTTGCTCTTTTTTTCAGTCCCTTATGCTGTGATTCAACAACTTTTCTTTTGCAATATTTCGAAACTACGTGCCAAGCAACTCTGCATTGTGGTTGGATAAAGCAAATGCGAAGGTTGGTTTTTCATGAGGACACAATTAATTTGGGACACTGGTGGAATTCTTCTGAGCACGCATTAGAGACATAAATTCCTGTCACCTGCTCGCCCCCAGTCGCTGCTGCCCACTCAGTCCAGCGGGATGTGCGCCTCCGAATCTGGCCATTGTTTGGGATCTAGCCACGGCTGTCTGTCGCCCACGATGGCCCCCGGCCCGGGTGTCCGGCGTGTCGTGCGATGTGTGTGTGCAGAGGCTCTTGGGCGATGTGGACATTTGAGAGCTGCGGATGAGAAAATCCCAGCATGGCACACAACACCGTCCCTTGTTATCACCACAGAGATGGACAGAGGGACAACACGACGGAAATTGTCTCAAAATGCCGAAAGGGAGCTTTTCGGGCACATCACGAGGGGATTACACAGTTCAGCTTGCCATCACTTGAGCTGCCGCTGCCCTTTCCTTCGTCCCGTTTCAGCACATCCCGCCGAGTTAGCTTGCTTCAGATACATATCTCCACCACAGAGTGAATATAATTCATTTAGCACTTGATGAAGAAATAACAGAGAAATACGAGTGGATCTCTCAATTTAATTCCTTCGCATTTTCTGGTCTCAAGGGATCCGTTGAGGTTTTAACGTAGCTTAAAATCCAGCAATTTGCCTATAAATCAATTAAGATGTATGCAAATAGGTGAAGAGGAATTTCTATCACACAGAATTATTTGCTTGACTTGTTTTATCTGAATTTTATCTGATTTATCTCAGTCAATAAGTTCACAATATTGTTCGATTTCAGCTTCACATCATCCTCCAGGCCAGTGAAAAAATTTCATCTATGTAGGTAGATGTGATTGTAACTATATAGGTAGCTTTATCTCTAGAGACAATAAAAAAAAATCGCCCCGCAGCGGAGCATCGACAAGTGACGCAGAGATGAGTAGCATCTGCACATGATTCCCTCGTGATCTGTAGAAAATTGAGTTGAAGTTGCAACTCAAAGAACGATTAATCGTCTGGCGAGCGAACAAAGCCTTGGCAAGCGGGTGGACAATTGGGCATCCCGCGGGGGCGCCTGTGGGATATCGAGAGGCAAAAGAGCTCGGCGTCGCACAGCGGAAAGCAATGCCGGCGACGCAACGGTCCATTAAGCCCCCCACCCCCACCCACTGAGGGTGCGAGCCGTCCTCCCCGAAAATCGACTCATCTCGGGGGAGGAATCTCTGCCAAGTCAACCGGAGCCTGCTGTTGATCACCCTCTTTTGAATATGGAATGGGCGACACTCCAACTCCAGTCGCGAAGGGTTGGCGCGAGTGTGCAAAAAAGACCATTGGAATGCTTCCCTTTTGTCCTCTCACTCTCTTTCTCAATTTCCCAATATTTTATCTCCTTCGACAATTTGAATCGCAATTCCCTTCAGTTGTAATTCGTCGTGGAAAAAGCCAATTGACTACTTCCTGGAAGGATTTGTTGCTTCACAGTTTTCCACTTGGAAACCAACACCAATAAATTCTGTCACATTTGAAGTACAATTAGTTAATTATTCCATCACACTGTCCTCCTTTCTCGGATTAATTGGCCCATCACACGATCCTCTCTGATGACTCCAATTCAAGCTCGCATTCGAGCTCATTTCAGGTGATTTTATGTGACTGACTTGGAGGAAACTTTTTGCGCTCAGGAAGTGAGAGAGAGAAAAAATTTAAGAGAAAAACTTCCGTGATTGATTCACTCTCAAGTTTTATAAGCACAAGTGTCTGAAAGCAGCATGAGCGGGAAATTACTGCGAATCGTGAAAGAGAAATCTGCAATTTAATTGCGATTGATTGGAAAATTCGCCATAACCAAATTAGGCAACTTTTAATTGATGTATTCCTTATTCTATGAGTCGTAAATGAGTGAGAAGTAACTTAATTTGACCATCAATTTTCACTTCATCGCACCCTTGTTATATATAGGATTTCCCATCGGAGGAAACTTACCGCCAAAGATGAAGAGGCCCAAGCATTCTCCAAGGAGTTTGCTTCTCACGAAGGAATTTCGCCTGGGTGGAAAGGGTAAAAAAGTGTGAGATTCTTTTATTCTTTCTTCACAGGCACAAAAGGTGAGTTTCGTCTGCTTTTTCCACCGTCAAAACCTGCATGGAAGGACTTTTGTTAAACCCTCTGAGGGAGTTTCAATGTCATTCTTGGAATTCCACAAAAAGAATCCTTTGGAGAATTCCTGGGTATTTTTCCTTTTACTTCAAGACTCTTTTGGATTTTATTTCAGTTTTTCCCTTCTGGGAGTTGTTATCACTTGAATTTGTCACCACAATAATAAACAATTCATAGAAATTTATCCATTTGTCATTTACAAATTAACTCTTCTACATTATTACGTCCATAAATAATTTCTAATAATAACAATTGCCTGAAAATTGTTAAAACTCAATCAGCTTTGGAGAAAGCATCACTTCCTGCTAACGAACTGGGTCAAGAGATGCCATTTCGTATTTATTCACTCTCTCAAGTGTCTCTGCACTGAAAGAATCATCACATTTTGCCTGTTCTATTTTTCAAGCGCCCTCGCATTGTTCGGTGCATGGAAGTTTTCTGTCCCGCGAACGCGGAGACAAACAGTGCACAAAAGCGCGCGAATGAGCGCAGGAAGAGCGCGACTGAACGGTGAGGCACGTCTTTGTCGGTGGCGATATAGTGGATTTACGGTGTGTGTTTGTACACTGTCGGGAGTTTGTTGAGCGGAAACGCAAAAATGTGGCGGTAGATGAGGCAAATGGGGGCGGAATGGGTGTCTTTCCGTTGCGCGGAAATACACTTCAAACCATTCTTTGGCGGCGGAACATCCTCCACACTTTCTGGCACACGAGCGAGCGCGATAAGGCGACGCCATTCACCTCCGGAGCGTGGAAGCGAGACATGATGAACGGGCGCGGAAATCTCATAAATCCACCTCACATGAGCGGATGACAAGGGCTGGGAGTGAGCAAGGGTGGAACAAGCTCATGTGAGAGAGCCCAGGGAGTGACAGGTGCAGATTACTCCAGGTAACTGACCAGATTTTCCGCAATTTTCCACGCCCTGCTCAAGAGACACCCTTAACTGTTGCTCAGCGAGAATGGCGAACCGAAGGAAGTTCTGAAATTTTTAATGAATGCACTTCAAAATTGAAGCAACACACATGAAAATCCCGTGTGGATTTTAGTTTAAATAACATGAAAAGTTTCTCAAAAAAAACACCAAGCTTGAAGAAAAGTTTGGAAAATTAGAAGATCTCTGGAGAGTTTGAATGAATTTGGATTTTGGTTTTGACTGAATTCAAGCACCAACATAACAATACGCAGTGATTTTCGCAACTTAACTTATCTAATCAAACTTTTAGTTATTTTGTGGGTGAACATTTGAAATTTGGACATTTTCGCAAAGTGTAAAGAAAGTGTCAGTGCATTAAATAAATAAATCCAACAAGTTTACAGCGTGTATTATATGAACTCTGTGAAACTATCATGTGTTAAAATAATTTAAAGCACATTTAGTGACTGCAAACTTTGTCATACCATGGATTCTATGCAAAGGAAGTTATAATAGAAAAACCAACAGCATTCTTACACCGTTTCACGAGACTTTCTCCAAAAGACTTTCCCTTTCTTTTGGGCCACTTTTCCCTTTCGCGTCACGGAGGACAAAAAGTGAGAAATCAAGTTGAAAAGACAAGAAATGAGAGACAATCGACAGGGAAACAATTTACCAAGTCTCAGGGACATCTCATCCTCAATCGCGATTTCGCCCGAGGAGCTTTCTTCATGTTGATTTTCACCAATGACTGTTGCTTATTTGTCCGCCTAGGCGACCCACGAGACGTCGGCGGGTGAGCAAATATCAAAAATGCCCTCCGACCCGCCATGAATGATTTATGGTGTGGAAAATTTTTCGCTTCCCCGCATGAACTCTGAAGCGCGCAAAGCAACCCCTCCGAGAATATCTCAGCGCGATGAGGGAAGAGTTGCCTTCGGGTGTGAGATTGAAGGTCTCGTGGTGACTTCACTGTGCGTCCCTTGAGTCTGAAAGATGAGGAAAGAGGACAAAGGACTTCCGGACACTGCCAAGAAAACGAATCTCCAGCGCTCTTCACTCACTTTAGAATGTCATGCGAAGGGTGAGGGTTTGAGAGTAAATTATCCCAGCATGTGAAAGTCCCGGAAGATGAGTCAGTTAGCACTGCAAATATAAGATTAGTGCATTTTTTTGTGAAAGAAGAGAAGCTTCAAAAGCTCTTCAGTGGAGACGCCTGGTCGCGAGGATTGAAACTTTACTAAAGTCACCAGAGTTTGTGTCATTGCTAAAAAAATCTCTTAAGAGACTTTCTCTCTCTGAAGTTAAAAGAAAACATCAGTGTTTCTCAAATATTTCTTATAATTTAATTTCTCTTGAATTATATTTTAAACAAAAATAGACTTTTTGTTCTTGGACATATTCACAAATAATTGTTTATTTCTTCACACACATTTTGCAACACTTTATACGTGAAACGAGGAGTGCAGAAAAGGATGATTTTTTCATTCTCAAGACAAAAAATGAAATGGAATATTTTACCTAATTGAAGTGGTAATAAAATGTGTGTTTTGCAGAGATTTCGCATCACAAATCATCTCTAAATTATGCATAGAAATTATAACTTTCCTCAAAAAAAAATCTACGGTTATTTCTCCTAAGTTATCCTTATGTGTCATTTACTCATTCAAATGTATAATGTTGCTTGCATATTTTAAATAGCATTCCTCTCCTTTTCTCAATAAGTTACATTAATTGCTACTCACATTGACAATATTCATGGATAAAAGATTGTTCACATTAATGATTCTCCCCAACTTAAGAAATGTACCTTGGACAAAAATGGCTTTCTAGTTATATTTAGGGTGTAATTATTACAGAGAAAGTATTTTTACATTGAATAAAGGACCTCTTATGCCCTCCACAAATCATCTTCTCAGCTACTTTACAACGATTCTAATATATTCTCCTTACGAGTAAATTGATAGATATATTTCTTCTCTAAATATCTAAGATTATGTATTCCTATTAAAAGTAAAAGCATTGCAACTTTCTTGTCTTGGAGAAATTAAAAATAATAATAAAAAAAAGAATGATTCTCTAAATAAAGATCCTCTGAGAGAAGAATATTTGGTGTCTTCCCTCTATTTTCTAAGCATTAGGAAAATCAATGAGAGTGTTCCATTTTGCATTAAATTACAAATTATCCTCTTATAAATCTTACAAACAAAACAGTCTTTTTGGCAAATTTTCATCTAATTGCTCTTCAACACTTACACACTGAGAAAGAAATGACCATCATATTATGTTCTTACAGCAATGCAATAATAAATGGAGGAAAATGTGATTACATTTAATAAAATGATTGTGATGTAAATTGGGTTGATATAAAAATATACAATAATAAAAATTCGTGAATAGACTCGAGACAAAAAATAAAACAATTCATTCATACGGAGAAAACATCCTTAGACATGACACTACGTCAGCTATTCTACCATATAGACGCTTCCATTGAAACTTGTTTAATCAGTTATTATTGCAAAGACAATAGTTCACCTACATCTTCTTACGTTTAATACTCAATATCCTTCTTTGTCATGAATTCAGAGAGAAATCAACATAAAATCGGTTGTTATTTTTCAACTTTCTTCTTGTAGTTATGCGAAAAAAAATCATACGATAGCGATTAAGATTGAAGTAGTAAATTGTAGCGCTATCGCCAGCCACACACAATCTTCCCCTTTTTTTCGAGTTCTTGCCGATAGTCAGAGTCCGTCGCCGTGTAGATTTACGAGGAGACAAGCGGGCGCGCGACGCGACTCGATCGCTCCTCCATGGAATTGCTGGCGCTGGCCTGAGAGTCCGGGGCAGGTGAATCGGCGTCGTCGCGGTTGTTGGACAGCGCGTTGGCTGCTGAAGTCTCGGTGGAGTTGGCGGTGGCGGATGAAGCAGCAGAATGGGCGAAGAGAACTCCCTCATAGAGCATTCCGTTCACTTCCATCGTCACGACGAGCTGTTGCTCACCATTTGTCGCTCCTTCTGCAAATGAAAAGCGATGGAAGCCAATTAGACGATCAATTCACCGATTGAGTGGTATTCCAGAAAGCCAATCATGCCTATATAAATTTGCGCTTATTATTTCTATACGATAATTAATCTTTTCACCAACACAAATTGCTTGATAATTCACATTGATAAAAACATATTATGTGTTTATTTTTGCAAGGAGAAGTAGTGACGTGAATTGGAAGAAAAAAAAGTACAAAGTTGTATGAAATCAAGGTGGAATGCATAGAAAATAATAAATTCGCGAGAAAAATTTTCGCGAGAGATTTCAGATAATGAGTTCCGTTCTGCAATTTGAATCTCACAAATTTGCTTCAGGCTCAAATCGGTGTTTAGACGCGTATGTAAAAGCCTCAACTCACTTGTGATTTTGAATTGCATTCCCGCGAGAACGGGCGTTGATGCGTCTGAGCCGCTGCTTTGGTTCATTTGATGGCGGTTGCTCTTGTCCACGTGATTGCTGTCCAGCGATCCATTGCGCTGATTTGTGTGCAACACGGGAGATTCCGCGGTCCTCTGTGCCGGATGCGGTGGCTCGACATCGTGGCTCGCCCCGCTCGTCGCCCCGAAGTGATGGAAGCCCCTCTTCACAGGTGGCTGGCCATACTCCCGCTCGCGACCACCGTCCGCCCCGTAGTCAGAGCCGATCATGTGATCCCGCTCCCGCTTCACCGCCACGTGCGGCGGCGAGTCAGAGAGATTCAATGCCTCCCTGGAAGAAAGCGCCAGACACGGTGATAAGGATGGGAGGTGATTTTTCATCAGCGATAACAATTCACTGTACCGTTGTGGTGGTTCAGTTCCCGGCGGGCTGGTCGTGTTGAGGGGGGTCGGTGGGCTCGCGTTGTTGTTATATATCGACCACATGGCCACGCGTGACATTTCGAGAGCATTGAGAGCCTCGCGCGACAGCTCGGGACTCTGTGATCCTGAAAAGTTGCACACCATCAGCGTTAGTACATGTGGAGGAGATCAAAGGCGCAGCGAGGGGCGGCTTAGAGTAGCTCCCAAGTGATACTCACGGCGGGGTTCCTTTGCGGACTGAAACAACTTTATGTACTCCATCATGCGCTGCTCCAGCTCGTGCGGCATTATGTTGGGCATCTGCCCCACCGTTGGGGCACCCATGAGCCGATGATGGGCAGACGGAGCATTGCCGTGCGTCACGAGGGACAGCGGAGACATTTGCTGAATGTTCGAAGTGACCGGGGAACGCTGAACAGGAGGCTGAAACAGAAAAGAGAGAGAGAGAGAGCTTGAATTGAAGACATCCAAGATGATATGTTGTGAGTGACCGAAGGAAATCCCTTGAAGTGAAATTTCCTGAGAAACAACCAGTCAAAGAATAGCACACATTTCGAAGAAAACACGTTAAAAGTGGCGGCAAGTTAATTTTCTGGGGAAAATGTGTCGATTCGACTCACCATTTGCAATTGACCCTGCATCTGTGGATCAAATTGTCCATAGCTGGAACGACGTCCCTCGCGCCGATTGCCGTCAATTGCCGCCTGAAGTTCTGCCGGTGTGCTCAGATTCTCCTTATCGCACTCGTACGGATACAAGTACTTCATGTATCTGCAAATGGAGGCAGGAAAAAATGGAAACGTGAATTGGAGTAATTTTTCTTTCTTCTTCTTCTTCTTTGTGTATAGAAGAGCAACATTTTAGCCCAAGCACACGAGATCATCTCCATCGACACACGATACCCCACAATTATGGTGGATATACACATTAAAATTATTAAATCGACAGGTGCCCATAACAATTTTATACAATTTATAAAATAAACGAGGAAAATATGCACAATTTCTGCCAATTATACTCTAAATATGTCCCTGTGTGTGATGCTTTCTCAAAGCTCTCGCCGCCCTGAAGAAATTAACATTTGCATCATTTCTCGGCACACACACACACATCAAATTCAAATGAATTCACCCTCGTGAGTGAAATTACAACCATCATGTAATTTCAGCTTATATTTTTTTTATGTTTATTGAATTTAAAAGAAAAAAATTCCCTCACGAAGACCAAACCATTGGTGCCGACAAAGAGTCGCGCGCAATTGCAATATTCAAATGACATAAAATTATTGTAATTTGGCAAATTTTATAGTACAACGCCGCGCACATCTTCCAAGTGAATATGATCAGGAAATATAAGCATACAAAATGCCACATTTCAAAAGGCGTGAAAATTCAATAAGACATTCCTGCAAAGCTCCTCCATTGTAACGAAATTCTTTTGCACAAACATTTAATAAAGAACACAGCGCGCAAAAGAGGAGAGAATTTAAATTTAAACGCTTCAAAGAGATTAGTGACGACGATCAATTAAAATTGCAAAAATATACATAGATTTTTTCTACACCTTCTCTCACACTTTTTGCCTCAACTCATGATCGCGTTTTTCGTCAATATTTAACTTCCTTCTCCCTCTTTGCTCTCTCATCCATCTATCATGTTCTTCGCCGATCACCAAATGATGGAAAGTGTGATTGAACTTTGCTTGCCACAGAAGAATAAACTTTACCCAACATAGAGAGAAGCGATCAAAAAGGTTCTGTAATTGGAGATGATGGGTAAATAGGTTGGGATGAGCCAAGAGGGAATCTCCAAAATTAATTCTTCATGAATAATGAGGAGGAAAAATTTCATTTCGCCTCGAAACTTCGCACGATCGTCAGTTAATATTGATCTGGAAGATGGTTTGTGTTTTCTCAAATATATTAATATATGCACCTGAAGATTTAATCATGAATCAATACAATTTTGTCCGCAACTCCAGAAATCAAATGATGACTGAAGGCGTTTAATTCAGCATTTCTCCATTATATTCTCTATATTAGTTCACAATACTCCATGACGCTCATTCGCCAACACAAGAACATCGAAGGGCGGATATCGGATTATAAATCATGCCGCCTGAATTCTGGGCGCAGAAATTGCGAATAAACGATATTTCCAGACGATGTTTGACTGACGTGCACAAGTCATAAAAATCCCTCACCTCGCACCTCGCCATCAACCATGAGCAGATTTCAATCAGCGGGATTTATTCGATTTCACAGACAAGGGCGGAGGATCACAATCGCACATACATAGCAAATCAGCTCGTGTGCTTTTCTGTATTTTATTGAAATGCAAAAACAATTCCATAACAGCCCAGGATTGAGCCTTAAAATTCATTCATTAAATTCCCCCTAAATTGGCAATAATTTTTCGGAAGTCACTATGGGCAAAAAATCACGATAAAACTCCTTGATGAATTTCCGAAACATATTAAATTTGCCACATTAAATTTTTACTTCACTCCCCATCAGCACGATCCTCAGCAAATGCATTGCAACTTTGGCCGCTTCTATATTTCAATTTCACGACTCATTTCATGAATATTGATCATTTGGGTAATACTTTTTCGAGAATTTAGAGAAACAATTCAATAAACCCTCTTTCCTTAAGTGATTTCATATTTATTGCCTCACTGGAAAATGTGCCGAAAGTAGAAGAGTGAAAATGGATATTTTGAGAAGCAATTTACATAAATTACCAAATGAAAAAAAATAACCATAATTATTCTTTAACAAATAGAAAAGTCTGTTATTGATGATCTTTTAATTCAATCATTTATATATGCCAGAATAAAGTGAAAAGACGTAATATTGTAAGCACGAATTGCAGTGAAAATCGTGAAGATTTCACTCACGTACATAATGAAATCGCTGTTGAATTGCATCTAAACGATTATCCCGTATGACTTGATCCCCTTTTCAAGCTCGCATTCTCAAATTGAATACTACAAGCACCCATCTCACTCGTGCACATGCAGCAGAGGTGGAATTGTCGAGAGGCGCACCTGTGCGAAACAAGTCAATTGGCATAAGTGTCGAATGCACTCTTTCTGGTGGGAACTTTTCACTCCTCCCATGACTAATAATTTTGCAGTGCGGAAAAGAATTATGGTGGTCTCGCGATATTAGCTTATATATAAAAAAAACTAAATAATAAAATGAAACGGCAGAAATGTAAAGGTTGCAACTGTAAAGAGAGATTGCGTGTTGAGTGATTATTTGTTTAATTACCCCAACTATATATTATAGTGCAGCCCAATAAGCGCACAGCCACATTCGGCCATTTCAATCACCTGCTGCTGGTGCGGGAGAGGGATACATTTTATATTGCAAACTAATCACAATAATTGCTCATGCTTGAAACATTCTATTTGCTCCAGAGAATCACTCTTTCTCCACCGCCTCCACTGACTATATGGCCATGTTGGAGCGCGAGCCATGATAGTGGAAGTATACGGACCGTGTGGCTGCGCATCGAGCGTCAAATGCCTCTCAAACAGCCAATCAATGCCACTTGAACCCGCGAAGACGAATAAAACGTGAAAATACGTTCGAACAGAAGTGAGCTTCTGATTCAAATCCAATTCAAATTTATGGAAATCGAATTTCCAACCAAGTGCCATGATTGCTCGTCTCGTAAAAAGCAGCAGAAAGTCAAATTGCTGAGATGCCAAGAGGCCTCTCCCAGCTTCAGAGCATAACCAGCTTCCGAGAGGACTCGTAAAAGTCCAGAACACCTCACATGTCAAATCATTTTGCTGAATGCAAAATATCCGCACTGGAGTTTCGCGCAAGTAGCTAATGCCTGATCATATAAGGCTAAATCATTGGGCGAGGGCAAAGACAGAGAGGCGAACATTAAAATTAAATGGTAGTGGAATTCTTCAGGGCGTCCACCACAATTTCGACTACGGAGTGAAGAGGAGAAACACCCCAAAGATGATACCCTTCGCTTCTCGCAGTCAATTATGCCTCACTCTGCCCGATAGCCTCGTAAAGTCCGAGGGACAAATTAATGTAATGTGATTGGAAGAGAATCATCGCAAGCATGGCGTATCTTGGCAATTCAATTCGACCATCATTGGAAGCACAAATCGTACATGACCACCAGGAATGAAGGCAGACAAAATACCCATAATTGTGGAATGGAAGAAGAGTGGAGCATTTTGTGTGCCGCGCTCAAAAAAAAGTGCCAAAGGAGATGTGAATAAGCGTGTGAGACAGGGACAACAAAGAGAAGTCCATCAAATGTGAAAGAGAATAAGCGATTCAATATGGTTATATGGTGAGTTAATGTTGTTTCTCTTATTACATGTTTTTATGCCATTTTATATTTGCATATTAAAGACAAAACGTGCGGCAAATGTACTTTTCATTTGAGCCTTCCTCACCGCATTCACATTGGAGCACACCACACTCAAATTCTGACCGCGCGTACAGCTTTAATTTTTCAATATAATTTATTCAATACTTTACTGCCTTATAAATTATTGGTGTTTTATTTCGCATTTGAGTTTTGTGCCACCACAGAAAGCGACAGCAAACCCCCCCCAACGCAATATTACACCTCAAATATTCACATCTTGCACTGTGCACCCGAGTCATGTTGCAGTGAAACCATACGCAAAACCAACACTTACAATATCTTACATTCATTTTCACACCACAGAAAGTCGCGATTCTTCCCCGTGCACACCCCTCATAAGGAAAAAAAGAGAGCGGTAAAAAAAATCGCTACACGTTATTTTCAATGCGACACTTTTTCAAAATATCCATACATATGAATAACATGAGAAACACTTTAATGGCCCATTCGTATTAGTTTATTTCTCGCCAATAATTATAATTATTGTATACCCCTTAATTTCTTCTCAATATATATTGCCGTTTCGCACATAAAGAAAATGTCACGTTTGCTTTGTAATTAATTTTTCCATGTAATTCAACCGACACGCCAGAAGCGGAGTTGGCAGATCGAGTGCACAATATTGGCTAGAATTCATTTCATACATTTTTTTTTCTCCCTAATTTTTCATTCAACCCACTGAAATTTATGGTTTTCAAAATTGCTCGATCGAGTGCGAAATCACACACTGAGAAAGCCATCTTGAGAAATCTCTTCCAACCATATGGCGCTCTGCATTTGATGATTTAGTGTCGCAAAACCATAAAGTTGAATTGAAAATGTGAAACGCGAAACACCTGTACTTTTCTGTACTCTATTTGTACAATTGTCACATGAAACATTTGCTAATTTGTCTCCCCACCAATCACTCAATTTCCCATACCAAACAACAAAATACCGTGTGTGAGCTTAGAAAATGTTTACATATTATTAATTTAATGCTCATGAGCGTAGTTGGGGCAAAAACCCCCATATTATCCAGCAGTAAAATTATCACTTACTGTGTTCTAAGTGTGAAAGCAGCACTCGTGATACTCGAGGGCAAGTGGAGTCCCTTGATGATTTCTTGCCACAGCTTCTTATTGATCACATCGACCAGACCACCGCGTGCGATTACCAAGTTGTACAATTCATACAGGTCCAGAACGGATTTTGCCATGATCGGTAGACGATTAATTGGAGTTCCTAGAAAGGAAAGAAACAAATCATTGAGAAATGGGAAATAAAACAACACTAAATAATCACTTCAACTGATCCACCCCTTATTCCTCAATCCTCATTGCAGATAAAGAGCCGTTGATGTTTGAAAAGAGGAGACAGAGCGAAACAACCAAAGACATGGTGTGAGACGATAGAACTGTGACGCACATAAAAATTTATTTTCAATCCACAGTCATTAGTGAGACATAAAAATGCGCGTTGCTGAGTGTGAATGGCTCGTATAATTAAAGAAAAGTCACGTATTAAATTAATAGTAACGCCCCGATATTACCACATACAATGTTAGATATCAAAAAATTATTAATAAGCCTCAGAGTGCCAGAAATAAATTTTCACTCAGACAACTCTTCCCCTCCACGCCGCAGCGAGAATAACAACATCATTGTGGAATTTATCATTTCCGGAAAAACCTCCCCTCTCCCACATTAAGCGCACCACAATTTTCAATATCAACCGTGCGAAGAATCTGTCGGCAGACAAAATAGTCAACAATTTGTGAAAAACACTCCTCTGGCGGGAAATATGTGAGAATTCGATGAAGTTTCTCCTGCATGTCCGCGCAGAGGAAAGGGAATTGTGCACGAAGTGAAATGTATGAAGTGAAGATGCTTTGGAATATGACACATATGTCTTTCGTGATTATTGTTGTTCTTCACGCGCGCCAAGCAAATTTATGCTTTCGCTCCGCAACATGTCACAGACCATATTTTAATGTACTCTCACAGTACAGGGGGACATCAACTAATGCAAATCACGTGCATTTGCACTGAATTATTTGCGATATCGTTGGATTGATCGAGGAAAAGAACTAATAATCGAAAAATGTTAGAATAATCTCTAACTTGCGCCATCTAAAATAGTTATTTTCCCCTCGATTTCTCGTCTCTGTGACAGTTCAAATGACTAAGAGTGTATATAATAAAAATGAGTGAGTAATGCAGAGATCTGGATTAACAAAGTATTAACCTCATACTTCTTTCTCACGCGAAAACTCTTAAGTCGTGAAAGATCACTGGTTGTGATACCATTTATCATATTATAAAATGAATGCGATTGACGCGACTTTCTTCAACTGTCGGAAAAATCACACAACCAGCCAGTCACATGTTAGCTTGTGTAAATTTCACACAATTTTCCTCCCCTCCGTGATGCTCCGCGCGCTCGCTCTTCATGCGCCACATGAGAAGGCATCAATGTATGGAGAGTCTGTGCATATTTTTAGAAATATACAATCATTAAAATATTGCAATTTCATAGCATTAACACAGACATGTTGATAAAATACTGAGAAATCTCTAATGCGCCTCCCCTCGATAGGTTGTTTGATATGCGATCAGCGATATTTGTCTCGCTGAGTGTGTAAATAAAACGCGCTTGAGAGATGAGATTAAAAGGAGGACATTCGTGGATGTTAAATATGTACGAATGAAGATGTCGAGCTCAGAAAGTGGAGCAAATCATGTCACGATGATATTTACACATTAAATTATCTCAAGATCAATTGATACCTGAGTCGGAATAAAAAGCACCTGGCAATTAACTCTCATTCACACCGCAAATATGAAATATTAATTTGCAAATCAGACGCTTCTTTCACTTATCCAAACACCATAACTCACGCACAATTCATCAGCGATCAAACAAGAGAATTTAATTTCCAATATGAATTCATACTACATCGGCTCAAGATCGGAGTGCAAGATCGCACAGATCATCACCTTGAAGTGTCTCAAGTCTGAGCCTTAAAACAACCATGCCGTAATTTTACAAGACACTTAACAAATTGCATTTTTATTTCGGATCATTACCAACAGAAACGATCCCCGAATAATTGCGCGACTTTTGCCACTCTATCTTAATCAACAGTGCATTAATCACCTCCGTCTCACCACACCCTAATGTGCGAATCATGTTAGTTTTCCCTGACGTATCATTGCACCAAGAAATTTACCATTTAATTCCTCGGCACGGCTCTTCTATTTCTCCCTCTCTCTCTCGCTCCCTCACTCGCTTCACGACGAGATGTCGGAAAAAGAGAGAAAATTGCAATACAAAGTGTAATGAGATGCACTGAACATTTATAATACTGTAATTGTGCTTTCGTGATGAATTCTCACTTTTATGGAAAATTCACACACAAGGTTTTTCATCGTTTGACTGAACGTACAACATTTTAATTCAATTACTATTGAGCTAGATTATATTGAGAGAGATTATAAGATTCAGATTTCCAAGAATTAAGTGCAATTACAGAAATTAATGTTCATAAACAATAATTGCAATTTTCTTTTAGTTTCTCTCTTTATCGTTCTTTCTTATGTACATATTTTCTACCCTACTCCTCGGAAACAATATATTAGATATGTATGCATAGCAATTTGTTAATCAACTTGCAAATATTTTTATATTGTGCGAAAAGAATTACACCCATGAGCTTATTAGTCAGTGAAATCACTTCCTATTAACCGGAATACTTTGGAATATTTCATAATTTTGCCATACTTTGGTGGAAATCCCTAAATTTTTACTTCACTTCTAAGAATTCTCAATCTGCCAAACTGATCAAATACTTTTTACTGGCTCATGCCACAAAAAAAAATATAATAACTGCCCTATTTTACCAAGTAATTCATCATTTATCACATGCAACGTCACGTAAAAACATGAGTCTGAGAGTGTTTCGAGATATTTTGCACAGGTCTGCAAATTCATAATCCATAATTCTTGGCTCTGTCTCTCAGCGGTATTTAAATAGACGATCTCATCTTTTCTCCTTAACTACCCATTCGTCCAAGGAATTTACATCAAGCGAGTGAGGCATCTTTCTCTTCTGTGTGCGACTGACAAAAAAGCCATATGGGCGTAAACAACAATAAATGACTTCAAATGCAATTATGCTACATAGGAAGAAAAATAGTGTAATGCCTTGTATAAACTATGTGTTAGTCTCCAACCACCAGAGTGATACGCGGAAAGAGGAATTCGACATAAACACATTTGGAAATTGCAGAGAAGTGATAGGGAAGAGGCAGAGAGAGAGAGACTAGCATTATCACCGCGGGCGAAATTTCGGATGTTTTCTCACATTAGATATTTTGATAGCATTAATCTTCCTGAAGGGAGATGCTTAGCACGCTTCCACGGCACAAAGGCAAATTTCTTGTCCGCGTATAGAAAATACTGTACGTTGACCGATGGCTCGAGATTGAGTCTTTTGTTGTGCTCTCTCACCATATGAAATTTCGGTATGACCCACAATTTATTCTAATGTCTCTATGGTGTGCCTTTTTTGCTTGTTTGATCGACGATGTGCGCGGGATGTTATTTTTCAGTTCAATCATCGCCTCATCGTCCGCACCGTATTCAATTCAACAGCCATCAAATCTCCTCAGCCAGCCATCAAGAAGCAGAAGCAGCAATCCTACAGACATCAAATCGCATTGGTATAAAGGCCGTGCAGAGAGAGCAGGAGAATTAAAATTACGACTACAAACACCTTCGGTGGGGAGAAATCATAAATTTGATTGATTTTTGCTATAAATCACATTAAAAAACTATCAAACGTTGATACACAACACGATACACATTCCCAAAACATCTCAACAGCAAATGGTTTTGGATATGAGAAAGCTCACGCGCAGCTTCTTAATAGCTTGCGGGGAGAGATGCTCTTTTCTTTTTCTCCTTTTCCCCAAAAGAAAAAAAAATGTTTGGATGGCGCGCGGCAAACTGATAAATTAAAATAAGATTGAGGAGAAGTGATGGAATGATATACAAGAAATTAGAAACAAAATTTTTGTTTAGATTTCTCCCTGAAAACAATTTTTCCTTTGATGCCTTCTTGTGGCGCGCGATGTGTGTATATATTCAGAAATAATTAGTGAATTCAATGGCGAAATGAAGGAAAAAAAGAATCTCCTTTGCATTCTCTCAATGATCTTCTTTTTTTTACGACTTTTTGGCAGCCACCTTCGGTAAATTATATAAATATCACCTCGTTCTCACTGGATATTTGCATGTTTTGACGTGCGGAATTTTTGCGATGAAATATTTTTCAACATTTCTGTCATATAGCCAAACAACAAATAATAAACAAGAATTTTATCAACCCTACACATTTGCTTTTTCTCATTTTTTTTTTTTACTTTTTATTTCCATCACTCTAGAGACGCCAACTCACAATTCCAAATCACCAAACAAACCACAACAATAAAATTAGAATAATAAGTCAAAATCGCTGTCAGAGAGACACAAAGTGAGGAAAAAAAAGGCCTTAGAAAGCACTTTCTCCCCACTCAGACATTAAAATCAAATTAGTGGAAATTGTAATAATCATGTGAATAATCCTATTGGGCATAAAATGAAATCGTATGTGGTGTAATCACTTGACGAGTGACGACGTCTGTTTATAAATATCGGCACAAAAGTGTACTCACGTAATGGGAAAAGTACAAGGCGTTCGACAAAAAGTCGTTCAAACTAACGCCTCGTGAGAGATTTTGATCTCACTCAAGTGGAGAACATATAAACTGGATCAGATGAAAGAAAAAAAGAAATCATTTCTTCAGCGTGATGGTCCAATATCAAACCGCGCCAGTGATGGATGAGCGTCAATTTGTAACAGTTCTCCCATCTCACACTCCCTCATCAGACCATTTTATCTCCCCGTGAGATGCACTAAATACGCAAAAAGAAGAATCCGAGAGAGCATCTCCGAAGACGATTAAGAGTATTTGATGTGGGAAACGCGCGCGTATAAATTTATGCTTCATACGCAACAGAAAATATCATGCAAATTTAATAATCAATAAATCGATCAAATGCACATTACTCACACCACCGCCCAATGCACCGTGATACAAACTATATACTCCTGAGGTGTTGATTGCAACTTTTAATATTGGGCCCCGACACAGTAATTCCCTTTCGCGCCGCCACAATATTTATAAGGTTTTAGGACGTCT